AAAGAAACAAGAGGATTGCGTGGAAACTAATTTTTTAAAATTACAAGCGTTATCTTTTTGCGGACACTGATATTATTTGATATATTTATTACTAACTACTAGCTGTTGCTTGCGACTTCGTCAGCGTTAAATTAAAAAATAATAAAAAACATAGCCTATGATACCCAAAACGTAGCATTTAAATGGTAAAAGAATTTCAATACATACAAAAATTTTTATAATTTTTGTATGTATTTTCTCTTTATAATATTGATATAGATTATTTTTTAGTATAAAATAAATACAGGTTGTTTTTACAGGTTCTACGCGTGCTGCAGTTAAACGCATTACAGGACCGCTGCGTAGCTTCGCGTGCGGACTGGGACGCTGCCGTCGCCCTAATGGAGACCGCCTTGAAGGAGAAACTCAGCGCCGTCGATGAGGAACTGAAATCACTTACAGGTTTCAACGTTTTATAATATTAAGCGAACAATTTAATCGCAAAAAACTACTTTACACGTATGATGTTACAACGTATTTGTATATCTCATAGAAATTAATAATTAGTTTAAAAACATTTTCCATACTAAAATCTTGCAGTAGTTTTATCGGTTAAAGTGAACACAATCAATAAACAGTCAAAGAAATTATCCAACAGCGCCATCTACTATCGGTATTAAGTTTCAATATTTCGGATCCTTATTGTGGAAGAGCGCCATCTATTATCAGTATTAAGTTTCAATATTTCAGATCCTTATTGTGGAAGAGCGCCATCTATTATCAGTATTAAGTTTCAATATTTCGGATCCTTATTGTGGAAGAGCGCCATCTATTATCAGTATTAAGTAACACCACCAAATTTTGCAACAGCGCCACTATACAAGTATTACTAGATCCTCTTATGACCAGGTCCTGGTCTCCGCGAGCGATGGCTGTACTGGCAGTCGTCATCGGAGGAGCAGCAACGGCGCGGCGCGGTGCGAGCCGAGCTGGAGCGGCTTGGCTCCAGTCGACCCAGCCTGGCTCATGATGAGGTGGTCGCGGTGCGTGACAACCTGCGCAGGCAGGGCGTGGACGTAGATAATGATTATATACGGGAAACCTGGAAACCTGTCTATTTAAAGTGAGTAAAACACTAGTCTAGGTCTAGTCATCCCTAATTTAGAGTAGGCTACGAACCCCTTAGTAGGGGAGGAAGTGAGATGGTGATGAATACTGAAATGAAAGTTTATTTTTATTTATCAAATAGCACAATACATATAATTATAATAAAAATCTTTGCTTACAATCTGGCAAGGCTGAATTTTAATATTTGTATTTCCGTGGCAAGCTTCGCTTACAATCTGGCAAGGCTGAATTTTAAAATTTGTATTTCCGTGGCATCATTTCATGCTCTTACCAATTTTAATATCCTTTCCAAATAAGTTCAGTCTTTTTGACTTCACAAACGTCTCATTTTTCTTTGCTTTACTAGTTGCCAATATTAAATGTTTTAATTTTATAATAGAGGGCGTTGTACCAATATTTGTATACTGCTAAAGCTATATTTAAATGTGTTTCAGACACTTCCTGGAGCGAGCGCAGACGCGGGCTCGCGACTGTAAGAAGAGCTTTTATTTGTACAGTCAGCAAAACGGCACTGGAGTGAGTTTTATACACTGATAATAATAATTACTATAATAAAAATATATAAAATAAATACTGAATATATAAGGAAACACGTGCCAATAATATGTCAACGATGACGATAGATAGATTTCTAGCTGTTATAATCAAATATTACTAGTCTTTTCGTAGTTAGCTAGTTCCTTCCCCTGGGAAGTTCCAAGAAGAAGAAGTTCTTATACCACTAACTGGCATACCAGTACCTGTACTGATATAAAAACTTCTATACTAGAAAGAAGTATTGGGATCTATTGAATGGCATAGATTTTATAATGTAAAAAAAGTTAAATACTGGCTATTATACTTTGCCTTTTTATATAAAAAGATAATGAAAAAAAAAGAGAAAAACATCCCTCATGTTAAAATTTACATTTAAATAGTTTTGATGAATATTTAAAAGTAGACGGTGGTGATGATGATGGTGATGGTGTTGCAGCAGAAGGAGTGCTGCGAGGTGGTGATGTTCTGGCGCGTGTGGGCGACGCTGCGCACCACCGCCAACGCGCTGCGCCAGCAGATCGGCAACAGGGAGGCGGCGCGACTCGACAGGGACCTGCGGGAGGTGCTCGACGAGGTACACCCCCCACACCTCTCACACATCCCCCACACCCTCACACATCCCCACATCCCTCACACGCCCCCGACACCCTCACACATCCCCCACATCCTAACATCCCACACCCTCCCACATCCCCACATCCCCCACACACTCACACATCTCAACATTATTTTACTATAAGATAATAAATAAAATATTATTCAGATGTCAGCTGACCCCGAGTTGAAACAGAAACTACTGTCTGGAAGACGAGTGGAGCTCGCAGAGGAACTCAGTAAGTTACATGTTATATAAGTACCTCGATAACTTAAAGTCCAAGGAAAACATAAAATATTTTAAATTATAGAGGTTTTAAGTTGTCAAGGGTCTATGTTATAGAGGTTTTGGGCTCTGATGGGAAGGGAACATATTTTTTGAAGTTATAGAGGTTTTTAAGTTACCGAGGTTTGAGTTATCGAGGTTCTACTGTATTTTAAATATAAATACTTAGCTATGTTAATACTAC